GGAACAGGACAGAGAGACTATGCAAAAAACACCACAGTAACTGTTGTTGCCTGCTTTATGTTTAGGCTGTGCAACTATTTCTAGTGAGGCTTTTAGGTTTTCTTTTAACAGCTGCACTTCTTCATTAGGCTATTCAAAAAGGTCAGGATTTTCATGAAATTGTGATGGTTGAACCTCTTGTTGATGTCCAACCAGTTATAAAGAAAGTGAAACCTGCAGCCATGCCAAAACGTTTTATTGAAATGGGAAAACACAGCAAGCAATCTACAAAATCCACTGAAATAGTACCCCATCACCCCGAACCAGCTAGCATAGAAAGCTACATTTAAATCAATACTTAATTCGGCAGAAAAAATCAATTTCTCTTCCTCCACAATCCATAAAATTCATCAGGAAAAAATTACCCCTCACATATTAGCAGCCCCTTCACCCTACAGGTTTAGAAAATAATTACAATAGACAATTTCAAGCCTTACAGCAGGTTGGGACAACCTTGCTATAAGGTCTTTTGCTATCTGTAATATGAAACATGGATTAGATGTGAATGGGAACACATACAGCCTTCCTAATTTTCCCAAACTCCCTTTGGCAAAAGCAAGCACTGCTTACATGAGCATTTTTTAGTGCATTAGACAGTTACAGCAGTCTACAGTGTCATGCCATGTCCAGGTTTCATTCCTGGGAAGTGGACACTTTTTTGCAGATACTCTTCAGGATGCAAACAGTCCTAAGGAACAATGCTGGTTTTCTTCACATCCAAATAACTTCTCCTAATGCTGGGCCATCCTGCCTTCATTCTCCCACAGGAGTATTTCAGCACTACCATGAAACAGTTGAAGAGCTTCACTGAATGTCACGCACGGAGTTCACAGATCCCTATCAGAAAGTGTGTGCCCTTGGGTTTGGATGCTCTTCACTTCATTGTCTGGGCAATCTCCTCATCCGTAAACTTTCTTTATAGTCTAGACAGTTCACTGTTAAGTACGTTTATAAATATAATGTATAGAATGGCATTGATCTGAATTTCTGCTTCCTGATTGACAAATCAATGCATCTTATTAGAATGTTTGGCTGCATAATATTCTGAGTTACTTGGCACACAAGCATCACCGAAAGTGCCTTTTCATTTCCATTGCTTTCTGCTATTCTCATCTCCATTCCTTTCCCTCAAGAAACTTTTTATCCTTCTTTTTTTGTGGACTACTGGACATCTATTTCCTGAATTTAGATTGTCTACTCTTTTCAAAGACTTTAAAGTCTTTGTGGGAATACAGTCACATCTTATCAAAGAGGTCCAGTCTCTGAGAAGTTGTTTTCTTCCACTGCATCTCACAGCTCAGATCTCAACATTTTTTTTGTATTCACAGTCCTGTATTGTCTCTGACAGAAGTTTAATAAAATCGTCTCTCTACTCGCAGTATCTGGGTTTTCAACATTGTTTGAACTGAGTGTTATAGACCTACCAGTCAATCTTTGCTGAGAAACCTGAAATCCCCTGCCTGCCTTATTATACAGTAGGCCGTTCGCAAAAGGTAGCAGCACATCTCTTGAAAATTGATGCATCCCTTCCACTGTTTTCAGCCAATTAATTTACGYTATAATTCCTGAATGTTTCCTTTTTATACAGTATCTCACAGTTGGATACCAAAAAGGTGGAACGTTTTTGTTACCATTGCTCCCACTGGTATAACCTCCGTTACTATGAATCTTTTAAAAATGCTTTCCCTCACTACTTTTCCTTCTCATTCCTTCATTTTTTTTTTTTTTTACTTAAAGCAAACTCTGCTCCATGTTTTATGTACTTCTCTGCTTCTAGCTTATCACACAACATTACAGCGTGACACCATGGCTTCCCACTGAACTTTCAATCCATTGCTTACAGTATTTTGGGAAAAAAAAAAAAGTTTGCAACTATCTAAAAGCAGAATGAAGCAACCACGCTACCAGTGATTAGAAGTTAAAGTGTGAGGGTTTGCCAGACTTACAATCTACTGAAGTCATAAGACTGATCATGTGAATAAGGAAAGCTGTATTTGGCCTAACGTTATTTCAGTCTAAATTGGAAGACTACGGTATCCATAAAAATATAAATGTTCCAAGCTTCAGCTGTAATAGTGATTTTATTCCTGATATGTATCAGCATGAGCTCAGATATGTTATTCATGAAAAAATATTAAGAAAAAAAAATCCATTCAGCTATGCTAGCTGTAATGAGTTTACATTTGTCAACTGGTTTTATGGTTAAATGAAAAGTTAATGATAAACAACCTTTCCGAGCTGCTGGATGCACCAAACATGCTGGGTGTGACATCCATCCTTAATGTTTTGGGAGGCAATCTGTACGGATATGAAAATGAGTATACTATTTCATCATTAACAAGTACTGTCACAATAAAGAAGAGGAAACACAAAAACACTTAAAATGATGTTTTTGTCTATCCGTGAGAAGGTAACCCACCTCCTCTTCTTCAATGTTTTCACTTAAGAACTCTCTACCATTTAGGATGAATGACAGCTAACAGAGTTGTGCCATATAGCATATTCCCTTACAGTTTGCTGGACTGCAAAAGCATTATTGGGAGTACTAAATTAAGTAAATCAACTGATAAAAAACCTAGGACTAAAATTGAACTTTTTATACACCCTGGGGAAAATCTGAGAAAGGCAGCAACCTSTGCGCTCTGTACAAGGGGAACCATCTGTGGAAGCCCATAGGAGTGCACATTTTTTWTATTATGAACTTTGTTCCCTTCATGCCATAGTTGTGAACTTTGTGTGTGTATTGGGACCAGTCTTTAAGTGCCTCCTAATTTGTGTTGGGACCAGTCTTCAAGTGTCTCCTAATTCCTGCACCCCAAAGAATTTCCCAGAAGTAATTCATGCTGTGCATCTGTCTTCTCACACACACCCATCACCTACCTTTGTAGTCCATACTGCAGCAAAGCCAACCCTTGCTTGCCCTTCTGACTTACCTGTTCAGTCTCACTTTTCATTGGTTTATAATATATAAACATGGAGACTGAATATGAAGACCATTAATCTCTGCATTTCATCTCCATTCTATGTTAAAAATCAGATATCTTCTATCCTAGAGATAAAAAGGAATTATGTTTTAGTGATCCATACTCTGTATTTGTGCAGAATTTTTACATTTTACCAAATCTAAACAATGAAAAATACAATAGAAAGGGTTCTCCACTATTGATACTATTCAAGAAAAGTGCTTCTCATGGCATTAAATGACAGTGCTGCATGCAATACACACACATTACCTGAAAGCTTATATACCTTATATACCTGTTATATAAATATAAACCTAATGCAGACAGCCATAATAGTTTGTATGAGAAGGTAACGGTGTGCTTACTCATTCAGTTACAAAAGTAAAAATGAAGTTTTATTTCCTCCATCATAATACTGATGTCAGTATATAATATTTGGAAAGAAAAAGCACACAGTTATACTTAGGTTAATACTGGATGCTATACATTATTGTTCAACACTATCAAAAGGCAGCATCTTCAGTTTCTTTATTGAAACTATTATATTACTTACACTGTCATGACAAAGACAAAACTGTTGAATCTGTTTTTTTTTTTT